GGAGCATGCTTTATACAGTAAAGGCAGCATTAACAAATGACGGATACGGTGTCCTCTGAATGAACACCTGAAAATTCTAAAAGAGCTCATAATTAGAAAAAAATCTTAAAACAGAAAGATACCCGTTATCCTTTAAGTATAAAATTTAAAGAAGGGGTAATCTGCTACCAAAAGGGTACAAGAAATAAAGTTTTTCGCACATGTTTTCCAAAAAATATATTTGAATCTATAAAGGCAGTCGAAAGTAATGACAAAAAGGTATGCTTCTTAACTAGTCACTTTTTATAGTACATGCTTTGTCTTGGCGGTCAGAAAGAAGCTCCTTAAAAAGCCGGCATCCTGAGGTGTCCAAAATATGTTGAGATTAGGCTGTACGGTTGTCTCTGTTTCAACCATCCGCAATTAATATGTTCCATTAGAAAACTCATTTCAGAATTACGGGTGCCATTTCATGAGATAGTGAGAGTCCCATGAGTCCGAAATATTTCCAGTAGCAAACTATACACGAAGGGCGATGCGAGTAGTCCGACTTTGTCGATTTGCAGGCATGAACCACACGGACCGAAGATAGTCTACCGGACGTCTGCGAAAATGTCCACTATGGGTTTCCAAATTGCCTTAATAACCTTCGACAAACTTCCGCATCTTTCATTGGCTGGATCTCAAAGGCCAGTGTACCGAATTCCAGACCGACTTTTGTTCATTCATTATGATTAAGAGTGAAGAATAATAACAGATGAAGGCTTCCATAAGTATAAAACTGTAAGTTGACTCGCTGATTACAAGTAAGCAAAAGTGTGACTTTTTCGAAGACCGCTGCGGACCATGAGTCCAGTCATAGCCCGTGCCATTATTGCAGTGTTCCAGTTGTCTAATTCCCCCCTACTCAACTACCGCGTCTTTCTCTCCTACCAAATGGTGCTATTTGAAGAGATCAGTAATGCGAGGTGTTGTGTTTTGTCGGACTTTCATGTGAAAATTTTGGAGGTTCCACTCGAAATTTAGCTCACACACTGTAACCTGAATCCACTGTTATTCTCCGACCTGGGTATGCAAACGTAAATTAGCATTGGCGAAACAAATGACCCTCTGGCACTCTGGTTGACATTAAGCATCCGTCGGGGGTTCTAGTATGGTTGTGGACTTCTTATGTAAAATTCTGTAAAGAAAGAGGGGGGTGGGGGACTTGCCCCAAGGATTTTCTTTTTATTGCGATTGTGATACCCGTCTCGTGGTTTGTAGAGGGGGTTGGGAATACGGCTCTTAGATTACTTTGTTCTTCCAGACTGGCTAACAATCGCACTTTTTACACTTGCCTGCAGGATGAGATATTTCTGAAGTCAAATCAACTGACGTCCATAAAAGCAGAATTGGACTGTGATCAAAAGCTGGTCGAGCGATACCTAGAAGACTGCGAGAACGACATTTCCCTGAGGAAGCGTATCAAGTCCACAGTCAATTCGGACTCGACCCACCTGCAGGTACGTTCCCTCGGTAGGGATTCTTTCTATCAGGACACATGGGAATGCAATTTTGTACTTTCGCCTTGTGGGGCAGGGTCCAGTAAAAATTCGGTTTATTAAAGGTATAGGCTGAAAAATAGTCATGTACAAGAAATGGGGCCATTAGGCTGTAAGTTTGCCTTCTGCTGTTTTTGAAATCAGAAGTAGTGAGATACCCACTGGTCGTGTTATGGGATGTACCCTTTCATTTGTGCCGTAGGGCCCACTCTCTACGCATAATGAGACGAATAAGTTCCATATGACGATCAGTGTATGCCCATTTACTCTGATTAATATATTCGATTGCAGCCGGCAAGCTAACTAGCCTGTGACTCAATGGTTAGGACGTTGGACTTTTAACCAACGAGTTCAAGCCTCAAGGGTTGCAGCATTGAGAGATAAGGAATGCCGCCTAATGAAGGCTAATAAGTCAGAAATTGATATTTCTGACTCCTTTTCTTTGTTGATAATGATATATTACCTACTTTTGAGATCGTTGCATTTATACCAACATAACGAATCAAGAGTACGTTTGTCGAAACAAGGAAAACCAGTTTTATGCAAACTGTGGATTTGCATGTGACAGATTCCGACAGGAATCCATGTGCTGAATCTGCAGACTGAATAGAAATCTTTGCAGCACAAAGGAATTGATTTAATCTCACTTTGAGCGCACGCATCAACCGAAGTTTCACGCAAACTTCACAGAGATTTGTCGGTACTGGTAAGGAACTTGTGAGACGTTTAGTTTCATTAATGGGTCTCCTTGAATCCCTGCGGGTATCAGACCAATCTGTAAAGGCCCTTCCAAGGTTATCACTTGTCTAAAACTTACTACGCGAACGTGTATTAAGTTCGTTCTTATGGGATAGGCTCTGCTCCAAGCCCTAAGTAAAGGTTAATTTTGGGTGTGTTTCTTTTTTCAGCAGTGGTTGACGTTTGTAACTTCAAATTGCCAAATGCATGCAGGCGGGTTCTCAGAGTGATGCTTGACCTACAAGCATTTTCGGTGACTAACAAAATTTGTTAACTGCCACAGCTAAGATAAATTCAAGTCATTAACGGGACTCCACCTAACTTGCACCTCAGGTGCTTCGACTTCATCCTTGTACATACTTTTGTGCACAAATCGTAGAAGGCACTGGCCACTCGCGTGTTACTTTTTCGTAAACACAAATGAACTAAGCTGACAAAGAATATGCATATGTTCTACGAGCTAAAACCGCCTGATAACTATGAAGCTAGACTGAGAACTGAGTTCATCGCTAAAAAGATTTACTCTTGACTAAGCGCCCTAGGAGCAGAAAGCAACCTCACTGTTGGAAGTGTACGTCCTGTATATTCCAAGTTTATTTGTACAGAATTCACCAAGATAACACGAGTCCCTGGAACTGCACTAATTACCTTCTTTTGTGAAAAGATTAGCAGATGCCTGATCCAGTAGCCAACTGACTAAGCAAACATGATAAGTCAGAATTTGCGAAGGAGCAAAGGGATCTGTTGGCTCTTTAAAAAAGTGACTCGTCGGGTGGCACACAAGTTAACCGGCGAATTTTCCATAATTGCTTGGTTCAAGAGTTTTTATAAAAAGGATTCTCTTGAAAGTTACGAGGAGAAGACATTTCCACTGCTTTAACAGGAGTTCACGCTGAGATACAGAAAAAATGGAACAACTGTATCATATCAACAAACAAGAATGTGTAGGTCTGTATTACTCAGGGATATGTTGAGAAGAAGCCATAGATTTGTACACAATCTAAAAAGAACAACCTTGATATATTTCCCGAGTGAACGAATATCGGTTGTTAATCACAATCCTAGAGTTTGCACCGTCCTAATCTGATTATCGTCGCAATTTGAGCTATCGAACTTTATGTCCCGTTCCTAGATTATTCATTGGAAAACCGTCTGGTCGGCCTTTCGGACCCGCCACTTTTGTGAAGTCATCTGAACAGTCGGGCCATTTGAAACCACAATTCTTTCTTAATCGGTATTCCGAAGAATTATGAGAATGACAGAGAACGAACAAAGAGTTCAGACCAAGTTTTGATGGGAAAATAAGGCTATATCGTCGTTTTGAGCTGTCAGAATCGGAAGATTTGTGAACTGAATATAGAAAAAAATGAAATTCTGAGTTGCTGGCGCTTGATTGAGTAGAACTGGTCAGACAGTGCTACCAAACTTTTGAAATTTGCGAGATTTCTGTTTAAAAGATAAAAACAGAAACACAGAAAGTGGTACAGACAAGTTGTTACAACCGACTGCCAGGGTATGGTTTGTTATTATTCAGGATAATCATCCTGCTGTCATGCTCATGTATCCCGCTTACGATGCAATTTAATTCAACCGCATTCTGAGAACAGCAGACCGTCAGTGGGTTTAGGGTTCCAAAGGTGCAGCCCGCAGACGACTGTTCCAGGTTTATAGACACTGCTGACAAGGGGGATTGGAATGGCCGTTCCGGGCTTATTAACCCTCGTCAACCCGTCAGGCCCAGCGCCACGTGGTGCACCACTCGAGGCTCGAGCCCATGACCTATTGATGAGAAGTCCAACATTGAGAAGAAGAAGAAGAAGACTCGATCGCTGGGACAATACGCTTATTCGATTGACGTTTCGACATCTGTCACGGATTCATCACCAGAGACATGAGAAGGAAACAGAAGCAGTAACTGTAACAGTCCAACATTCTCACCATCGAACAGTGGGCTCTTTACCTTGCCGGCTTACATCGGGATATTGATATTGGTCCAGATGTTCCTACCTGCACTTACACTGGCTTTATAAGTATATAAAGAATTTGTGGAATCAAGGATTTGAAGGCTGAGGATTTGTACTTTTGTGACCCAGATTGAGGTGGTTAGCATCTTCAGGGGTTTTCTTTTCGGAGCCTTTAAATTCCCATGATTTATTACTGCTTCTGATGCCTAGCAAATGATGACGGTGATTCGGCGTTTGATGATTCTGCTACCTACGGCATGCATAAGTAATGAGGCTACACATTAGGCACCGATGACTTCGAAGTCAGTGACTAGCTGAGTAAGCTGCATTCGTCTTTGACGTTATGCTTGTTGGTGTGGTCGTACAGTGAGCTCTAACGAGAATGTACGGACCGCCGGTGTGTAGGCGGAAGTGTGAGTAGCTTCCCAAACATGCGCCGCGGTTCATGTAGAGCAAACGGTGAATAAGCGATACTGAGGTGTAAGAACAAGAAATGTTCGTGCGGCTAACAATGCCCCAGCTTGACACTCTACTTCTGCATCTGAGAGTTTTTAATACATTTTACAAATGCCTGTTATGACTCTCAGGAAACCCGGCATTTATATACCTTGCTAGAGTTAAGTCACTAAGGATTTCCTGGAACTGGTGATCAGCTTAAGTCAGTTCAGATCCGCGTGTTTCGGTCCCTCATGGCGCTGTGAACCATGTGACACACTCTGTGGTCTATGCAGTTATCTGACAAACTGAAGTGACAATGTTCGACTCCCTTCTGCTCAAAAATCGCTTAAATCCTCAGCTCTACGCCGGAACCACCTAAAAACTGAACTCCAATTTACCTATCATTGCAAATATTTAGGCAATCACACTACCATCTTAATTACGGAACCACAGCCGACCTTACGTATTTCAATTTTCCGATTGATGAAGTTTCAGTGCACGTAGCAGATGAGGGCCAGGAACTTAAAAATAGTCCCTGCGGTTGACCTTGCTGCTATCGATATAAGTTTTCATTTAATATGCCCTTGTCGAAGTGTCGCCGCCTACAAAACCCCTCGACCGGTGCTTCAGGGCCAAATGCACTCATGCGGCATTTGGTCCCGCAGTTGAGATAGACCAAAGAAGCCTGTAAAGTAAATATATCTCGGATAATGTTTGTGTACCATAGATGGTATCGTGTTAGATGATGCGTAGAGACACGGGATCACGAGTAGATATGCCATCACATGAAAGTTTAACCAAACTTCTAAAATGGGTTTTCGTTTTGAAAATGTCCTTCAAGTATGGTTGTACTAGTACTTGTCCTGCGGCATAATCCCGCTGTATTTCCCTCAAGTCACATTGCCGGCATTTGTACTAGCTTCGTTTCGGCCGCCTGAAAAACCTATAAATTGTAAAAAACTGGCTGCTTTTTCACATCAACTGGAAACTTTGCAAAAGCTGAAAGATACCCTTTCTTCAAGAACAACTTCGCAGGAACCATAATTTGTTAAGAAATGAGAACACGACAGAATATCTTCCTGCATGTCCTTTATACAATATATTTGAATTTTTAAAGGTCTCAAAAATACTTTTATAGTCTAGTCTTTACAGGTGGTCTGAAAGAAGCTCCTCCAAAAGCCAGCATCCTGGCGTGACTTAAATATATAACTAGATTGCCAATAGAAGTAAATATACGAGTTCCAGGAAGCAGTTAAGAAGAAGTAGATGCGACCACTCTTGTTACAGTGGTCGCATCTTCTTCTATATGTAGATTATGCTGCATAACCCTCTACTGTGTCTGTTCTTCTTTTCTTGGTCATGACACCTGGCCTAGGAATGTTAGGGAAGGAGCACGGTAGATGCTACACAACTCTGGTTAAAATATAAACTGATTCACGCGGAAGTCATCGTCCATGTACCCACCCTACTGTTGAGCACGCGGCGACCCTAGTCAAAATCGACGATCGAACTGTCGATTAGGAAGCAAAAGGTCAATTCCTGCTCTCTCTCGCATGAAAAAATTAAATGCAAACGCAAGCAGCATGCAGGATATTTTAACGAATGCTTAGGTTACCATTCAACCTGTCATGTTTCACTCAGAACTTATTCCTCTTGGCTACTAGTCATTTTCAGATTAATGTTTAAGTTTCGCCCGAATAGCCACCTATCTGACTTAATAAGCAAAGACGTTTCATGAAGGACTAAGTTGCCCGCCTGAAGAACACAATTTTATTGGACAAAACACCTTTTCCTTCAGTACACCTGTGGCTGTAAGTAGACCTGCATTTTCATTGGTGCAGCAGCGGCACGAGGGCCCAGACTATGAGAACTGGAATCTGTGCTGCCGCCCCTTATTTTCTTATTGGTGCACAAAATCCCGAAAACGTATGAACTGTGACGAGCTGGGTTAGAAACCCCTACCCCCTCTCCCCATCTTACCATTGTTGTATAAACCCTAGCTAACTGAAAATTGCGACCAGGTGGTGTACGATGGCGTGTGGTGACACGCAGGTCCAGGCTATGAGAACTGGGTTCCATGTCGCTGCCTCTATCCTCTGGGTGTTTTAAAAATAGTCCTGATCAAATGTTTATTGCGGATCGGGAGGCCTATTGGTACGTTTAGTTGCGGATTTTTCCATGACAGTCGCCTGAGCCCGATCCTGCCTCCGGTTTTCGTAACTTTGTCTTGACAGCGGGCACGACTAGGGGAGAGAAAAGAGCGAGTGTGGTACACTCTGCGCAAGTCTACGCTCACTTAAAAACTAATTTATGCGCCAGTCACCGCGTTTGTCTCCAGCGTGCTGCGAAGCACGCGGCGGACATCGTCGATTTCGATGGGGAAAATGTCACATTGTCATATTACTAACAGAGCAATTCGACAGCCTCAAGTGTCATTATCTGTGAGAATCTTGAACAAATTGCAGTAGTAACCAGATCGTATCTTTGGTGAGGCAGAATATCGACAACAGGGGAACTCGTAGGTCCAGAAACATACTTTGGGATTCAAAAAAGATGTGATTAGAGATTTATCTGCACAAATAATTGTCGTAGCTGCAAAAGAGATATCCTAGAGCAGATGTGGTGAGTCAGCTGCCGTTCCATATTGTTTCGCCGTGAACATTTCCTGACTACAAGCCTCCTAATTCCGGTTGTAGTCTGACAAACTGAATGTCCTAAGCAGCAGAAAATTGCAAACTCCACGATGTGATGAACGCAAAATTGGGGGTTTACTGAAGTGGATTGTCTTGCAGTTAATTAAAAATGCTTGCAATTTTTACACAACGGTTTAAGTGGGTGAGTTGTTTATTTTCCGAGTTCGACATAAACTTTTCTCAGAGCCAGTTTTACCGTGGTATTTTAGCTGAAGAAGAGAAAGTACCTCTGCATAGTGGCCTTGTTAGTTTCTCGATGGTGCAAAACCGTTCGATTCATTTTTTAAAAAATGATAACGCATCTTTATCCCGGCAACGAACCTGATTATAAGTGCTTATTCACGTTTTTCTAACTACCTGACTAGTCGCGATCAAGGAGTTCGTCCTCGGAAGGCTCTGATTTTGCAAATATAACAGGTTCCCACTAGTTATACTCAAGAGCACGTCAACACAGGATATATAATGGCTTCTGTAATTAAAACAATAAAAGTAATTATTTAACTTACGCCAATGTTTAACATGAATGCAATTTAAAAAACCCAATATTCCTTTAAAAATCATTCATATCTGTTGTTTCTGCAGATATTAAAAATATCTTATGGACACAAGGCAAAATTCTACCAAACGCTTGGCACATGACACAGTTTTTCCTAACCAGAAAGACTTCTTGATGGCTGAGTTTAGCCCTTTGCCACGAGGACACAGCTAATAATAACTTCTGTGCTTTTTTCCTCCAAAGTACCTTTGCAGTGAAGAGGTTCGCCTGAGCACCATACGGATGGATCTTCAGAAGAAATTGGACACGGCCGTTTCAAAAAATGAAGTTATCAGCCTTCGCATCGACAACGCCTGTGAACTCAGTCGAATTGAGAACCGCGGACGGCGCGAAATGCTACAACTGTGGGAGAACACCGTCGCCCAAATGGCTGCTCGAGACGAGGACTACGCTGAGTTAGGCAAGGTTGGGATCGGTAAACATATTTAGGCGAAATGAAATAAATAGTACTTAAACTTCACTGTGGGGCTGAAATTGTAGAATTTGAGTAGCACCTTTTCACCCCTATGAATTGGCCGAAGCTACTCCCAGTCTTTGTAGAAAGAATGGACAAAATAAGACTACTTATCATACATAAGTAGCACTTATAAATACATACATTAGGTCTAGGCGCCCGCGATGATGAATCGTTCGAAGAAAAACCTTGAAGTCAGAGAATGCCTGCTAATTCTGAAAGTGGTAGTCACCTTATTTAGTTTCAACCTTGCAAATATAAATTCACACTCGTTTTTTTTATTCCATAGTTTTTTAAATTGTAGGCATTGCCATATATGCAGCTTCTCGCTCCTCGCCTTACTCTCAATACCTTTCCAAAAAGTGCCCAATATTTCAAATTTAGCAATACGATGGCAAGCTTAGTGAACTCCAGAGCGCTCGTGCAAAACTGCAAGATCTCGAAAAACTGCTTGCCAGCATTGTACAGGACATTGCGGATGCAAAAAAGAAAAGGCATCAACTGGACAAACAAGCTGGTGAACTCCATGACCAGATCCAGAAAGAAACTGAAGAGTTAACGACCACAGAAAATGACGTTAGTGCTTTGAAATTCATTTTAACTATGAAGTACTGTTTCCCTGTAAACTGGCCCTGGCATTTACATAAAATAGAAAGAGAGCGTGAGAAACACTATCTCAGCTGGTGTTTGTGAGTCTGTAGTTAACTTTCAAAAAAGAAAGCCGAGTATAATGCTGGCCAAGTGTGAAGCTAGGCAATATATTTTTAAAAATCCGACCAAGAATGGCTATGTGCGCCTTACTCCTTATTATAAAAGCTGTAAAAGTACTCAGACTTCCCATTTTTCCTCTTCCACTTTATATATCAAAACCCTACTGTTAAGGAAACACATTGGCAGGGCGACTTATTATCACACTTAAGGTCAGTCAATATGCTAAATTAACGAAGCGACAGTAATAAAACCAATTCGAGCGTCGAATTCTCGGTGTAGAGTCCGGACTTCTCCATCAGTAGACAACTGCTGTTCGTCACCGAACAGATGGAAGGCAATTAAATTCTCAGAAAACCGCCTGAATGGCATCCACGAGATATATAGTGCGAAAAAGGAACGACCCATCTTTGCAATCGATATGGTCTTTTTGAATATTGTTATTTAGTAACTAAGAAATAATATATCTTATTGAAAACCACCAGTTCAAAAAACGACTAAACGAAATTTTAATTATAGTAAGCCCCAATATAGCTGATAGTAGAGAAGGAAAGTATAATACAACGAAAAACTTATTTTTGATCGTCCTTTTGCGAGTAAAATTGCATTGATTCGAGTTGACATAAAAACCATGTTATATATGTGGGGAGGGGTTAGACCATAACATGTATGAGCACAAAACTCAACTTTTTTTGCTTCTAATGCTGGTGAGCTTGTTAGCCTGTGTCTGATGCATGGATTGACTGAGAGTCGATTTGCTTTTTGCGTCATTTTAGCTTCTCACCCTGAAAAAAACGGTGGAAAAGACTTCCAAGGACCTGCAAGTGGCAAAGGCCGAAAACCGCCAGATAAAGGAAGATCTCAACCGCATGAAAGCTCAGTAAGACAAGTCTTGCTGCTGTCAGACATTTATCAGGAATGAAACCACGATTTTCCCAACTATGTTAGCGATGGAGCATGCCTGCGTTTCGGGTAGGGCGCAGACGTGACTTGCGCATACAGTTACTTATAGTAAGACAGGCATGCTCGGACCCCCTCACACTCCCCACCCTATGCTATTGTCATGGCAAGGCGTGAACGGGATGATCACAGATGGACGCAGTGAGTAACAGGAATAACCAGCCCGTCTGCGCGTGTCACGTAGGATGTACTTGTTAACACTCTATAGTAGGGTGCAAAAGATTGATAACACTCGAACACCGGCAAGTGATGACTTTAAAAAAGAATTAAAAGTACTGACTACTTGTTAAGAAAAATAAAATTTTCTTTATAATCCCCAAGATCCGGAAACGTAAAACATAGCTATAAAGTAGGACAATATATTTTATTTTTTTGTAAGCTAAATTAATGACCAAACCACTTTCCTTATACCAGAGGAATATTTCCCTAGTTAAAATATTTTGAATAGATTGCCGTTATTTAATTATAATTACTTACAAAATTAACCGTTGAATTCCGATGAATTTTCGAAGATTTTCTGTGTTTTCAAGATTTTGTTCTTAATCATAGATTCTGTTCGATGTCGCCTCAAAACCTATAAAATAAGATATCTGTTAAAAGCATTTACCGAAAAAATGGGTTTTGGATATTAGCTCTTATAGAGAGTGCCATGTGGGCCATATTTAGAAATTCCTCAAAACTGCAAAACACATTTTCGCGCAAAATGAACGTCCGCACCAGATGTCTGAAATTGAAATTCCTAAGATTAATAAAAAAGACTTTCTATAATGGGTAATCTCTTTAAAAAGCACTTCAATTATATATACAGCTGATAAATATCTGTGCATGTTACCTCCTTCCAAAGTAAAGCCAAAAGGAAAATTCAGATTTTTGACAAGTTATTTTCACTTACCTGAAGATAAATCATACGATCTGACTGAAACTGAAATAAAGCACTTTGCTCTTTGTATTGGAGTATTTTCCCTTATAGTGGACTGCTTCCAGGCTTTGTTCTAAGCTTGCGAATGCCAAAAGAGTTGCCGAATGGCTACTAAGATATTGCGATCATTATTAATCTTCTGTCTGTACCGTCTCTAAATTACGCATAAGCGGAAATTATAGTGTGAAAGTATGTTTATACATGACTTGGATCTACTTTTACCTTCATCTTCACGATAGTATATGGGCAGCTTTTGTTACGTCTCAACTACTGGATGCAGTGAAACAAATGTGATACAAAGTTCTTTGTTACCGCATTTTGTGGCAAAACTACACAATTGAGAAAAAATCATTTTTAAACTGAAATCGTTCCTTGTTTCTGAAAATAAATGCAATTTCTTAACTTTGGTTTCACTCGGCTTCACTAGCATTCGGGCAACTTCGGACTAAACTTTTCGATATTGCAAGGCACGTGTTTTAAACTTTTCTTACTTATTTTGGGGTTCGCTCATAGCATGATGCATATTAGTAAAAAGTGTAGCCCTGTCGTACTTAATCGCATAGGAATTGTCTTCGATATTAGGCTACTATCCATTTTGCCAAAACTAATGACCAGTCTCCATAATTAACTTATCTAAAAGGTCAGTTTTCCTGACAAAAAGCCTTCTCAGGATTAAATCTACTCAGTAGATAAAAATAACGTGAAAAAATACATGCTACACTACCAAGTCAGTTTTTGTCATGACCATTGCACGAATTCGTAGACAAACTGTACGCGTCGGACTGTATGTCCGTTATGACATAACGCCTTCAGAATGAGCTTTTGCAGACTGGCCGAGTCATTCTTGTCCCCCGTAGCTTACAAACTACGGCAATCAGCGCAATCGGTTTTCAATGGGGTAAAAAGTTCGTGTATGATGCGAGCTAAATCTGTGACCGACCACCAACTTTGCCTAACCCTTTCTCTATCTGCGATTGGACTTTTTAACGTCATTCGCATTCAGTAAGAATATTGTTGCTGCAAAGCAAACGGCAGGAGTTTCCTTGGTAGTGGCGGAACAAAACTCCACATTTCCAGGTTTGTCGACAGCGATTCGAGCTCAATCCGAGCTCGATTTGAGCACGATTAGGGTTAGGGTAAGGGTAAGGGGTTAGGATTAGGGTTATGGTTAGGGTCAGAGGTTAGGGTTAGGGTAAGGGTTACGTTAAGGGTTAGGGTTAGGTTTATGGTTAGGGTTAGGTTTATTGTTAGGGTTAAGTTAAGGGTTAGGGTTAGGGTAAGGGTTAGTGTTAGGTTCAGTGTGGGATAGTG